GGGAGGGGCCCCTTCCCCAAAAAAAAAAAAAAAAAAAAAAAAAAAAAAAATATATATATATATATATATATATATATATATATAAAGCCTTTTACCTGTTCTGTGGTGGTATGCAATCAATACATGGAGAAATGCTTTCACTGATGGAGCAGATATTAAATACCAGGTACTGGGCTAGGTTTTGATTCAGAGGAAAAAGGATACTGATTCCAAAAATAAAGTAAGATTGCCCCTGCCCACAAAGAGCTTACAGACTATAATAGTCATGTACGTACAAGGGACTGTAGAAGCCTAGAATCCTCATTCCTTCTTCCTTCTCTCTTATTCTACTTCTAAACCGTAAAGGAAATAATTGGTAAATGCTAGGAATCCTGCTTTCTTGGAGAAAATATTTCTTTTGATTTCAAAAGAAACATATTGTTTAAAAGACCCCAAACTTTTCTTCTGTATCTACATTCATGGCTACCTCCCTGCAAGGAGACACTTATGCCTTTGAGACACTGACTGGGCTGTAATATCTAAACCTGTAATCATGTTTTATGCCAGGAAAATGTTTTCAAAACATCTGCACTATTTAACCAGCCAAGATGTTTTGTGAAAAATATTTGTGAATGCTTCCATCAGGATATACTCAATTGTGAGTGAAATATTGGATGAAAATATTTGGTCATTTTAACTCTGTGTGTCTGTTTTGAATGTGCGTATGCTCATGTGTGACAGTAGAATTTTATATATATATATATATATATATATATATATATATATATAATGTGTGTGTGCGCATGTGTGAGAGAAGAATTTTATATATATATATATATATATATATATATATATATATATATATATATAATTATGTTTCTAAGTTAACACAACTATTCTGTTTAATTTTGGAAGGGAGAAAGGAGAACATTTTAGAATAGAAACTAAGATCTACTTTATAATGAGAGGAATAATAATAGTCCTTTATTGTTTTAATAGGATTTTAGAAATTATTTCACTGTTATTATTCAGTCTTCACAAAAAGCCTATAAAATAAGCATCAGTATTTTTATTTTACATAATGAAGAAATGTGGCTCAAAATGATCGGGTGATTGAAGTTCCAGTGTTAGTAAACATCAAAGATGAAAGCAAAACTGCAAGTTTCGTTGCTCTTCCTACCATACTACAGCTGCCCAAGGTGAAAGCCCTGTCTAACCTGGAAAGAGAGGAATTGAGAGTTAGTTCCCAGTTATCTATAGATGAATCTAATGAGACCCCAGCCACTTACCACGGGTTCTGCTTGCAGAATGAATCTCCCTCTTTATCCTGCTTGCACGTTGTGGTAGGAAGAACGTGCGTTGGAGTCGAATACCTGCGTTTGAATTCCAGTTCTGCCACTTATTAGCATATTGGACCTAAACTCCTTTCCTAGTATTCACCCAAGAACACTGGCAGTGATGATACATACAGTGAAGATTTGTTGTGACATCCTGGGCACATAGTAGGTGCTCAAGAATCACCCAGAAAACCATTACCTGATCTCTCCTAGGATGGTGTCAAGAGATACAAAATGATGTGGGGAATAAAGGGTTATAGGGAATGGAACGATAGACACAAAGGCAAGAGACAAGAGTCAGTTTTGAGCCCTTTGTTAAGCCATATGTGAAGAATTATTTTTTTGACCGTGGTTACATTCATCCTCATGTTCACTTATGTCCCAGGAGGCATTATATTAAGGAGATAGAAATGGGGAGCCTTGAAAGCAGAAATGCAGGAATGGCCGAACCTTTTTATAGTCCTCAAAATGGATTTTCCTAATCCTTTTTTTCCCCACCTTTTATAGCTGATGGTGTCTGTGTCTTCAAATGCTCACTCAACAGAGACACTGAATGTTGCTGTGTGGGGAAGGAGTCCATCTTGATTTCTCTGGGCTACCACAGTGCTTTGCTGAAGTTTGAGTCTCATGCTGGTAAGTTTTGTGTCTATTCCAAGCCCCTGGCTTTTCCAAAGGCAAATCTCCTGATTGGTTGACTTTCAGCACCATGTTTCCTGATGTGAGTTGCCATCCATTGATAGAATGACTTAGAACTGGTTCTGGTGCTTAACTTGATGTGGTGGCTAGAGAACAGTCAGCCTTCCCTAGACGGTGAGAACTTTTGTATTCTAATACCCCGCCCCCCAACCCTGCTTTGGTTCTCCTTCATCCAAAGCTGCAGGAAAGGACACCAAGGATTATCCAGACCTTCACCACTGTTGTTGATTCTCCTTGAAGGTGAAGTTTGCTGAAATGTGATTTTCAGTTTGAGCGTCAGTGATTTCATCCTGTTTTTGTCTTTGAATCATTTGCTGAGCATTTTTAGACTCTGGACAACAAATGTCTAGCAATAGGGGTGTAAATTAAAGTATAACTAGAAGTATTTTAAGAAAAGACTCAAAGGCACTCTGAAAGATTTCTGGCTTCTGGTGGGTGGGGCTGGGTCATGAGGCGGCTGGCTGTAGGATCCGGGGGGTCCCAAAGCTTGTGTCGACCTGCTGGTGGGTGAGGCTGAGGCCCAGGGGGCCCCAGAGCTAGTGCTGGCTCATTGCTGGGGGGAACCAGGTATCTGGCTGCAGTGCCCTGTGAGTCTGGAGGCTAGTGCTGGCCTGCTGGTGGGCAGGCTAAATCCTGGTATGGCAGGCTGCAGGGCTTCAGTGATCCTGGGGCTGGTGTCTGCCTGCTGCTAGGTGGGGCTGGGGCCCAGGGGAACCCAGGACTGGTATCCACCCAATGGTGGGTAAGACCAGGTCCTGGGCCTACTGCTGTCTCATGCCGGCTCACTGGTAGACAGAGCTGGGTCCCAGTGTCTCTGGCTGTAGGGCCCTGGGGGTCCCAGGGCTGGTGCTAGCGCACTGGTGTGTGGAGCCAGCCCTGGGTCCCGGCCTCTCTGATGGACAGGGGCAGCTGTGGGCTCAGGGGGTCTTAAGGCCACGGGCCTGCTGGTGGGTGAGCCGTGTTCACCTGGCTAGTTGCTTGGCCTGAGGCATCCCAGTACTGAGGCTGAAAGGCTGGTAGGCAGGGCCACGTCCCAGCACTAATAAGCTAGAGGGAGGATTCCAAAATGGCGCTTACTATCACCAGTGCCCATGTGGTACAGTGAGCTCCCCAAATGGCTGCTACCAGTGTCTGTGTCCCCAGGGTAAGCTCCATTTGCCTCCTGCCTTTCTGGGAGGCTCTCCAAGATCAGTGGGTGGGTCTAAACCAGGCTCCTTTCAAATTACCGCTTCTGCCTTGGGTCCCAGAGTGTGTGAGATTTTGTGTGCACCCTTGGAGAGCAGAGTCTGTTTCCCACAGCTTTTTGGAACTCCCGAAAGTAAGCCCCACTGGCCTTCAAAGCCAAATGTTCTAGGGGCTCATCTTCCTGGTGTGGGACCCCCCAGGCTGGGGAGCCCATTGTGGGGCTCAGGCCACTCCCTCCTTGGGGAGAACCTCTGCAATGTAATTATCTCCCCATTTATGGGTCACCCACCTGGGGGTGTGGGTCTTGATATACGACATCTCCATCCCTCCTACCGTCTTGTTGTGGTTCCTTCTTTATATCTTTAGCTGTGATGAATATTCTTTTACCGTATATATTTTCTCATTCCTGTTGGATCAGTATCTAGGAGTAAAATTGCTGGGGCATAGAATAAGTGTATGCTTAGTTTTATAAGAAATAGCCAGAACTTTTTCCAAAGTAGTCATACCATTTTACACTCCCACCAATAATGTGTGAGAGTTCTGATTGCTCCACATCTTTGCCAGCATTTGGTCGTTCAGTCTTTTAAGTTGTTTTTTCATTCTGGTGGGTGTGTAATTGTATCTCATTGTGGTTTTAATTTACATTTTCCTGATACCTAATGATGTTAAGCAGTTTTTCACATGATTATGAATTAAAATCATTTGCTTGTTACTAACTGGTTGTTTATCTGTGGAATTGTTCTTTATATATCCAGGATACCAGATATGTATCACATATGTAATTAATGGGTGTTACCTTCTAGTCTATAGCTTGCTTATTTATTCCCCTAATGATATGTTGAGAAGACGTTTTAAATTTTGATGAATGCCAGTTTATCCTTTTATTTTCTATTTCCTTTCATAAGTTTTATAGCTTCAGATTTTATATTTTAGGTATACAGTCAGTCTTAATCATTTTTTATTTGGTGTAAGGTATTTAGCCAAAGATTATTTTTAGACTATATGGATATCCATTTATTCTAGCCCTGTTTGTTGAAAAGACTTCTGCAAGTTAAATGATTGTATATAGACTTGGTCTATTTCAGAGCTCTCTATTCTGTCCTCTTGATTATCTTTGTGCCAGTATCACATTGTCTGGATCACCTTTAAAGTAACACTTGAAGTCCATTTAAGTTTGTTCTCCTTTATCAAGATTGTTCTAGGACTTTTTGGTCCTTTGCATTTACATATACATTTTATAATTAAGTTGTCAGTTTCTACAAAAGTGCTTGGTCTGACTGTGATTGAGATTGATCAGTTTGGTGAGAATTGTCATTTTAACAATATTAATTGGATTTTATCTGATTTGTAAACTAACAAGTTAGGTTGCCACTATTCCATGAATGCTGACAGAAGACATAAGACTCCTGGTGCAGAGGTGAAAGACCATTTTAGACTCTCAGGAAAAGAGCAGTAGCCAAAGTGTGAGCATATTTTCTCTGAGTTCTTTAAGCCCCAAATCCCCCAGACAGATGTGGAGGATAAGATGGGTGCCTGCACATGCAGTGGGGTGCATTACAGGAGAGGAACACTGAGCTTGGGGAACTTCTGTTTAATAGCAAGCACTAACCAGGCTTGCTCTTTGTTCCAGAGGAAGATATTACTTCATACCTCAAGGTTGCTTGCTGCATACACCACCCTGAGAAAGAGCCCAGGTGGAGAGTGGTGAAAGCCTGGCATTCATGGCCTACCCAGTAAGGCATATTTGAGTCCCGTCTAGAGACCCATGGACAAATTTATTAAAAGAAAGAAAGAAAGAAATGCTACAAATTTATTTTTAAAAAAAGAAATACTACAGATTTATTTAAAAAAATGATACAGGGCTTCCCTGGTGGCACAGTGGTTGAGAGTCCGCCTGCCGGTGCAGGGGACACGGGTTTGTGCCCCAGTCTGGGAAGATCCCACATGCCGCGGAGCAGCTAGGTCCCTGAGCCATGGCCGCTGAGCCTGCGCGTCCGGAGCCTGTGCTCAGCAATGGGAGAGGCCCCAACAGTGAGAGGCCCGCGTACCGCAAAAAAAAAAGGGTTACAAATTTATTTTTTAAAAAATTTAAAAAAGAGACACCCATGGAGGAGTATTTCCCAGAACTTTTTCTTTGTAAGGAGGAGGGGGATTTTATCATTTATAAACTCCAGAAAATGATAGCACAGAAAACTTCATTCCTAGGTCAAATCAAGTCAGACACAAACATATTTTCCAGGAAAGACATTCACGGACAAGGCATTTTAGAATTCCTTCTACAGCTAAGAAAAATAATATCAGTAGTACAGCATGTTCCACAGGCAACCCTCTTAACAGTTCAATAGAGATAGGCCCCTAGTCTTGGTAAAATGTAGACCTAAGTTATAGATAAGTAGGTGCTTTAGTCATTTAAGATATCTCCAAAACTGTAGACAGACAATACCAAATGAGGATGAATACCAACCTCTCAGTACTTTTCATTTGTTAGAGGGGATTAGACATCCAATAGACAGAAATAATTCAAATAGGCTTGAGGCAGAAATAAAGCTAGATATCCAGATAGCAATGAACAACAAATAATTTAAAAGCAGACTCAGTGAGTACCAATTACTACCTTAGCACAGTTAGACTCGCCCCAGTAGCCAGGAAAGATAGGCCTGAACCCAAGGAGCTTGTAGGGTGCATTTCTCAGGCAAGCTGTGGTAGATAAGTCTGTGTGAACATCTTAGTAGGACCTCCACGTTAAAATTCAAACAAGAACAACTTAATAAACATTTTTGGAGTACTGAGGGGGAGTTTTACCTTTAATAATAAAATACATATGAGGAAGTCCTGCTTTCACAAGAACTGGCTCCCAGATACAGAGAGAAGGCTATATTTGTAGGTCAGATATGACAGCATGCAATTCCTTGTGTGTGTGTGACTTTTTAATTTTATTTGTAATTGTGGTAAAATATGCATAGTTTAAAATGTACCATCTTAACGCGTTTTAAGAGTACAATTCAGTGGCATTAAGTACAATCACATTGTCGTACAACTCTCACCATTCATCTCCATAACTCTTTTCATCTTGCAAAACTGAAACTCTTCACCCATTAAATAACAACTCCCCATTCCCTGCCTCCCCACCAGCCCTGGCAACCACCATTCCACTTTCTGTTTCTGTGACTTTGACTACTCTAGGGTACCGTATAGAAACGAAATTCTGTAGTACCTGTACTCTTGTGACTGACTTATTTCACTTTGCATAATGTCCTCATGTTTTATCCATGTTATCACATGTGTCAGAATTTCTTTCCTTTTTAAGGCTGAGTAATATTTCATTCTGTGCATACAGCACACCCTGTCTATCCATTCATCCATCAGTGGATACTTGGGTCGCTTCTACTTTCTGGCCCCCATGAATAATACTGCTGTGGACATGGGTATGAGACTTTTTTGATGGGTGAAATCTATATTGGTTTTGGCTCTGTAGAGGTGCCAAGGAATGAAGAGGATATAATTTTCGCATGAAAATGTGCGTCATTAATTTGTGCACTGCATCATTAATTTCTGCACATCATTAACTTATGTTACACAATTAAGAATTTGGTGTTCTCTGATTAACTTGAGGTTTATCTTTCTCTTGGCAAATTTTTTCTTCAAAGTGCAAATTTTACTGTTATTCCTAGTAATAACATGTATAAAACACAAAGCATTTAAAAATATCTGTTGTCTCAGTTCAGTCCAGCAAATACTTATGGATCACCATC